CTCCCACGTACACCCCTCATTCTCTACATACACCCCCTCCCGCTCTCCACGTCCACACCCGCCTCCCTGGTCCTTCCCCCCTCCGCCCTCCCTTCTTCCCTTGATTCATGTTGTCACTGCTCAGGCTCTCTGTGGCCGCGATGTCTGATATGAAGAGCGAGTCGGCCAAGCCCACAGACGACACAACCCGGATCGTGAAGCGAAACGTCGCAGCGATAGGGAATCCCACACTCTCAGCTCCCCAAGTACCACCCAGTCCCCACGTATGGGCGTCGCCACCTATGTGGCGAGAAGCAGCAATCGAATTAATCACGACCCCAACGACGACAACGACGCCAGACGAATGACGACCAACGGCCGACGCCAGACAACCGACCGACGACGGACGACGGCGGCGGCGAGAACGAGGAGGAGGGCAACGACGGACGACGACGACCAACAGCCGATGACCGATGACGGACGACGACGACGACAAAGACGACGACAGCGGCGGCGGCGACGGCGACGGCGACGGCGACGGCGGAGGCAGCGACGACGACGACGACGACGACGACGACGACGACGACGGCGACGACGTCGACGACGACGGCGACGGTGACGACGACAACGACGACGGACGACGGACGACGGACGACGGACGATGGACGACGGACCAAGACGACGACGACGACGACGACGACGACGACGACGACGACGACGACGACGACGACGACGACGACGACGGACGACGGACGACGGACCACGACGACGACGGACGACAGACGGACGACAGACGGAAGACAGACGGAAGACAGACGGACGACAGACGGACGACAGACAGACGACGACGAAAGCAACGACGACGACAACGACAGCGACGACGGACGACGGACGACGGACGACGGACGACGACGACGACAAGCAACAACAGACGGACAACGACGACCCGTGCCCGCCCCCGGCGCAGGCCCGCCTGTGCGGAGGGGCCGCCCACGACGATCGCCGCCTGCGCCCGCCCCGGGGCCAGGAGGCGGGGACCCCTCCCGCGGCAGCAGCCAGACGTCCAGTTGCCCCCTGAGGAAGAGGAGGAGGAGGAGGAGGAGGAGGAGGAGGAGGACGTGGAGGATCGAGGTTCGATGTTTGGGATGAGTGTGTGCCTCTGGGGGGGATGCTCGTCGCCGCGACCAAGTTCCTTTTTCGAACCCCCGTCGGAACGCACCCTGGAAGACGTCTGGGAGGCGATTGCCGAGAAAGGCCTCTGGCGAAACGATTGGCATCTCGCCAGAGACCGCTTCTGGACCCCAGGCCTGCCAACAATCGGCCAAGCATGATGAACACGCTCCAGGAGAGGGGTCGAGAGATCCTGGGGCTGGCAATTTAAAAAACGAGTCGTCAGAAGTCTGGGATGAGGACTACGTTTTGCTACTGCACCGCTCCCTGCGCCTCCGCAATACACCTGACAGGCAGGTTAGGCAGGCGTCGAACATGGCACTTACACATACGGAGGAGGAGGAGGAGGACGAGGACGAGGAGGAGGGGCCAGCCACCCCAGGGAGACCGCCCCAGTTGAGGGGCGGTGGAAGTGCCTGCGGGCTCCAGATCATTGCGCTCGGGTGGCGGGATGCACACCCGCGCGCCGGCTTGAGGAGGGGGAGGAGGAGGGAAAGGGAGGGTTGGTCGGACTCGGCATTGCAGCAGTCTGCACGCCGTCTTGCTGAAGGGTCTCACCCCGAGAACCAAGGCGGGTACACTGTGTAGCTACTGCCACCCTCCCCAGCAAAGGGAGGCCCAGCCCTGAGCCCCAGGCGGCCCAACGAACAGAAACAACAAAGGGCGGCGGACGGCGCGAAGAGCTAGAAACAACACTACGGAAAAAGAGGAGAGGGAGGGAGGGAGGGAGGAAGGGTGAGGGGCAACGATAGGGTGAACTGGCATAGAAGGGGACACACATCGACCTGGAATCGGCGATACCTCGCCGACTGATCGGCGATAGGCCCACGATGGCGAATCCCCACGTTCATGGGCGTGGTGGGGCCATCAGACCCCCATCAACGGTCCATGGGTGCCTGGCGTTCGATGCGTTCCCCCGTGAATATATCTCCCCGATGATGGGCAATCTCGTTTCTCCAACCTCTGCTGGCTTTTCGCTGTCGGCAGGCCCCGTTGGAACTGCCAGCGAGCCCTCGAAACGAGGGGGCCTGGGGCGTGATGAGCGCCATCTGCTCCAAGACAGCTGCGGCACAATGTCGGCGTGCGGACTGTGATTCCCTATTGCTACTACATGCTGCTTCACGTCAAAACGTGCATTTTAGGACGGGTGGTGAGGACGCAAGACCCTTGGAGGCCGAAGTTGGGATTTTTGGGCGACCAGTGAACACGGCAAAGGACGGGCCGCCGTGGCAAGGACACGAGGGCACCCCAGATGAAGGCGCGCGTCCTTACCAGGCGCGCTGACTGCACCCCACCTTCTGTCGCTGCCCCTGAAACTTGCCATCGCTCGGGCGTCCCCCGTGCCTCTCGCCAGCTTCGTGCATGATCCGGAATGCTCCTCGATGGTCCTCGCCGAAGGAAAGACGGCACACGCCCGATCCATGCCAAGGAAAGGCGATGAGGGGCGCCGATAGGGCGGGACTGGCATAGGCGGGGACGCATCGACCTGGAATCGGCGGTACATCGCCGATTGATCGGCGATCGGCCCCCGAGGGCGAAACCGCACCTTCCTGGGCAGGTGCGGGCTATCGGGCCCCTATCGGCGATCAATGGGCGATTGGGAGTCGATGCATCCCCCCCGATGCCCATCCCCCCTATCGTTGCCCCTGGGGGGACGCCCCCCCCTCTCGCGGCCTCTGCCTCGGCGCGGCGGCGCCTCGTCCTGGCCGTGGCGCCGGACCTTATGGGGCACTCCGCCGAACGCCGGGCGCGCGCACCCGGCGCCCGCGCGGCCAGCCAGGGGGAGGCGGCCGGGAGGGGGGTCGGAGGAGGAGGAGGGCGGAGGAGGAGGGCGGAGGAGGGCGGAGGAGGAGGAGGGCGGAGGAGGAGGAGGGCGGAGGAGGAGGGCGGAGGAGGAGGGCGGAGGAGGAGGAGGGCGGAGGAGGAGGAGGGCGGAGGAGGAGGGCGGAGGAGGAGGATCCTGCGCCTCGCCCCGCCTCCCCCCCCTCCCCATCTCCGGTCTCCCCGTCTCCCTTCCCCTGCCCTGCCGTGCTCCGCCCTGCCCTGCCCTTACCTCTCCCTCCCTCTCTCCTCCCTCGTGCCGTCTCTCCTTCCTCCCTCCTCCTCCCTCCTCCTCCCTCCTCCTCCTCCTCCTCCTCCTCCTTCCTTCCTCCTCCTCCTTCACCTTCACCTTCACCTCCTCCTCCTCCTCCTCCTCCTCCTCCTCCTCCGCCTCCTCCTCCTCGCCACCACCATCATCCCCTCCATCACCAGTATCACCTTCATCGCCACCATCTGGAGAAACCAAAGGGTACCAATCCTGCAAGTCCCAGGAGCTCCTGGGGTGCACTCTGACCAACATGTCGAAGCGAATCCAAAGGTGTATCTTGATTACGATACCGGAGGAAAAAACAATCATCATCTTTTTAGGGCTGTAGGGCTATATGGGCTATAGGGGTATTGGGCGAAAGCGCGCCAGTGGATCTCCCTGAATACACTAAAAGGGGGGGTGCAGAACCCTCCCCCCAATCCCCTTCCAAGGAGGAGGGGGTCCGGACCCCACCCCCCCTCCCCCCTTTAAGTGGGGGGGGTCCGAATCCCCCCCTCCTCTCCCCCCATTGAAGGGGGGGGGGGGTCCGGACCCCCCCCCTCCCCCCCTTGGCGCTGGAAAGGGGGGGGTGGGGTCGGACCCCCCCCCCTCCACCCCTTTGCGCTGGATAGGGAGCCGGGGACGGGGGGCCTCTCTCGCTTCTCCTTTCTGCGCCAGAGAAGGTGTGTAGGGAGTACGGAGTTGGGAGTAGGGAGTGGTGAGTAGTGAGTAGTGAGGTAGTGCGTAGTGAGTGAATATTGGGTAGTGAGTAGTGGGTAGTGAGTGGCGAGTAGGGAGTAGGGAGTTGGGAGTAGTGAGTAATGAATAGTGAGTACGTGTACACTGATAAGTGAATAGTGAATGGGAAGTAGTGAATAGAGAGTAGTGAGTAGCGAGTAGAGAGTAGCGAGTAGGGAGTAGGGAGTAATGAGTAGTGAGTAGTGGGTAGTGAGTAGTGGGTGGTGAGTAGCGATTAGTGAGTAGTTGATGGGTAATGCATAGTGAGTAATTAGTAGTGAGTAGTGAGTAGTGAGTATTGAATCGTACGTAATGCGTAGTGAGTAGTGAGTTGAGAGTAGTGATGATAAGAAAGTAGTGGGTAGTGGCAGTGGGTAGTGTGTAGTGAGTAGCGAGTAGGCAGTAGCGAGTAGTGAGTAGCAAGGAGCGAGTAGGGCGTAGTGAGTAGTGAGTGGCGAGTGGAGACTAGTCAGTAGTGAGTAGTGGGTAGTGATTAGCGAGTAACGACTAGGGAGTAGCGAGTAGTGAGTAGTGAGTAGCGAGTAGGGAGTAGGGGGTAGGGAGTAGTGAGCAGTGAGTAGTTATCAAGTGGGTAGCGAATAGTGGGTAGTGAGTGGCGATTAGTGAGTAGTGAGTAGTGGGTAGTGAGTAGCGACTAGTGACTAGTGACCTGTGCCTGTGACTAGTGACTAGAGACTATGTAACGAATAGGGAGTAGTGAGTGAGTAGCGAGTAGTGAGTAGCGGGAAGTGAGTAGTGAGTATTGAATAGCCAGTATGGGAGTAGCGAGTAGTGAGTACTGAGTACTGTGTAGTCAGTATTGTCTAGGGAGCAGGGAGTAGCGAGTAGTGGGTAGTGAATAATGATTTGTGGGCAATGAATAGTGAGTAGTGAGTAGTGAATAGTGGGTAATCAGTAGTGATTAGTGAGTAGTGAGTAGTGCTTAGTGAGTAGTGAGTATTGAGTAGTGGGTAGTGAGGAGTGAGTAGTGAGTAGGGAGGAGGGAGTGGTGAGTAGGGAGTAGTGAGTAGCGAGTAGTGGATAG